AGCTGAAACAACTCCAACGCCTGGGCAACAATACGGTCGACATCTTCAACCGTGGCTACGTTCGACCTCAATTACAGATCCAGGCAGGCAACGTCATGCGGTTCACAGTTGATGAACAGGTATCAACACAGATCTGGGAAGTCACCTCGTCAAGGGACAACACTGTCCTTCATCAGGTGACAACAGAGCTGTCTTGGTCCAACAACTACATGTGGACCTACAACTACGTGTTTCCAACATCGTTGATCTCTGCTGAGAACAACGATCATTTCATCTGTTTTCTCCAATCGTTGGAATACTCTGGGGCAACAGTGCTTCAACAACTGTCCACTGATGAGACAGTTCGCCTATGGGGATTGCTGTCAACACCTCAGAATTGGCGTCATCTCCAACAAATCTCCATGGGAGGCAACAAGACTATGGAGAGATTGAGGGGCAACGCCAGAGTGATCGAATGGATCACAGCCAACACCAACATGGAACAGTTCGTTGCGAAGTACAACCAGTATCGCAACAGTTCCAACCCAGAGAACAGAGAAGATGATGAGGACATGCCTCACAACATCGAGGACAGCGTGGAGGCACGGGATGGCTGAACAATTCAGCAACAAAGGGTGAAACTGCAACATCCTGGAGTCAACACTCCAAACCAACAGAGATGATGGCGACGTCAACATGGAGTGCAGCTGACAACATTAGTTTCCGATGAATAGATGTACACTATCTCAATAGACAACATCTTTCTTCAACAACTGATGAATGTAAAGTGTACAGTGTCAACATTCTTAGATTCGCCATGCAGGCAACAATAGCCAACATGTCGAGGGGGCGTGTTAGAATGTAACATTGGTCCCAACATGCATACCATGTCTCACATGTGGCTTACAGGCCTTGAGCCATTGCCCAACAGTGCAAAAGGCAACAGTGCGCACAACTCCGGCATCAACAGTTCATACAACAGTCGACTGCCATTTTACATAATTATATATATATAATTATATAATGATGATACGTGCTAGGCTTGTTTTACGACATGATTTAGCATATTTAGACCCCCAGGTGGATGAATCCTCCAGGTATCTTCTTTTGAAAATTTGGCGTGTTTTCAATGTCTGGCCTTATCGAAGGAAGTTTAGAAGTCAAACTTCCGACAATATGGACAGATGAAAAGCAGAGATGGGAAGAGTCAGAGAAGAGAAGAGAAGAAGAAAGAAGATCAAAAAGAGAAAGTCTCAGAAGAAAGAAGATCCAGGCGCACGAAAAG